AGAGAGAGAGAGAGAGAGAGAGAGAGAGAGAGAGAGAGAATGACAAGAAGAATGCAAGCTCGCCTTTAATTAGTTTTGTAAGAAGAAAAATTGTATTCATCCTTTTGATTCAGACTGCACCGAAAGAAAATACTGTATATGTAGTGAACTTTTTTTCCCCTCAAATTGTATTTAGAAGCAGAAAAACTCGCCTAATTTCACAAATTTTCTATAAGTGTCTCAAATTGAGTCATCAAAATTCAAACACCTTATAAATTAACATGGACTGTGTCCATTGGACACATTCAACAATTGATTGACAGGGAAAAACAATAGCGTCCACACTTTTTGTACTGTCGACTTTGGCAATAAAGTGAAACCGCAAGGCGCAAAATAATAAAAACACAGTTCACTCACTCGAAAATATTGGTGGATTTCTTTCGAATGAATAACATGTCGATTTGTTGAGAGTCAGCCGGCACGTATTTGATTTCATTGTATGAAATAAGCGAAGAATACACGTATCTCTATGATCAAACCAAATTTAGCGGATAGAAAATTGAATAAGAATAAAACTAAATGCAAAAAGTTTGTGCAGACCGACCAATCGATTGCATTCTCTGGTCCCCAACGGTCACATACCTGACAAAAAGGCAAGCAGATGAAACAATAAAAAAAATTATGCTGTGAATTAAAGGGCATTCACACACCATACTTAAGTCAAGTGTACAACTGTAATTACAGTTTGATGAAAAGAGAAAAGTGAAAGCATTATTTAAACGAAACAGAGAGAAAAAAACGCATCAGAAGCAATTGACTTCTCGAAAAAAAAAATAATAAAAAAAAAATTCTACATTTTAAGTCATTGTCAGGTTAATTTATTTTTGCATATTTTAACTTAAATTCTATCGCATTATTATTATTTTTTAACTTAATCCCCATTTACAAATTGCAACATTGCCGCGATCGTTAGGTCTAAGGATGTAAATACTATTTGCTAAATTTTATGTATGTCCAAAATAGTATTTGAACAGAATTTTTTTTAAACTTGTTTTTTTTTTACAAAGAAATCGGCTTTCTAGTTGGCTCAGTCGTTTGCGATACGTTCCAATATGAATTTTTTTTTATAGAGAAGAAAATAGGTCAACATTCAATGCAAACTAATGCTGAAAACCTAAATCATTTTTTTTATATTATCATTGTGATTATTTTATTTATATTAATTTCATTCACACATAAGATTCATTACAGAGAGATACATTCAAGAGCTAATTTAACACTCCCTCCCTCAAGTTATGGATAAATACAGTTTTTAATAGAAAAAAAAATGGGAATAAGACATCTAAGTCAGACACAGCAACAGTATATTGTGGATTGAATTCTGTTTCATTCAAGAAGGAAACTCAAGTCGTTTTGTGTAATGAGCGTATGATCAGGTGTTTGAATCATATTACACTGTTTGTTTATTATTTATTCAATCATTTGTGCTATAGCAATGGCCATACAATTTTTTT